GTCCCTCGGCCCTTAAAGGGGAAAGGTTGCCTACCCCTGTACTACACAGTAGATTTCTTTGCTGAAGGTTGTATTGGGCAGCAGTAATAGGACATTTTCCTTGTGGTTCTGCACCCAGATGACTCATGATGCATTCCACTGCTCTTTTATCTAGGAGTATGTCCTGCTGAATTCACTACGATTTATTCCTGGGTGAACATGCATTGTATAGCACTTCAAGTGTCATGCATACATGTGTAATTACATGACTATTTCTTTTTTAGAGTAGATGTTGGTTGGATGATGGCATCACAAAAAATCAGGAGAGGGAAAGCTCTGGTGAATGCCACTTTGTTGTTTCACCTCCAGGAAAGATAAGAATGAAAAAAAAAAGTCTGAAGTTGTTAAAAGCTGTCCATAATCCATAGGTGCATATTACTCATATTACAGATATACATGTCGCTGTTCAATTGTATTTCTCTGTGTGATGCTGTTCTGCAAGCTAAATTACACAAATGGCTCCTAACTAATGGATTTATTTTGAGCTAGAGGAGCAGGTGGGAGCAATGCACAATGAGATTTCCTGCTTCATTGGCTAGTGCTATGTAGATTAATGATTCATTTCAGCACAATATGAATAATATTAGTGTAGTGAATAACCTTTTGTAATACCATACTGTTTCCTATGTCTTATGAGACATTTGTTAGTGAATATTGCAAGTACTTGCTTGCATATGAAAATATGGAAGTATGTTTCACAGTGTGTGCTATATAGTTTGAGGCAATTACCAGTAGAAATAGAAACGTATTATCATATGGACTGTACTGTGTAATGTAATGAATTTCTGCAGAGTTTTAAGAGGTGTATTTTATTAACTCAGATTTACAGTCCATGCTATCCCTTAGGCCTTTAGGATAGAAAATATAAAAATGTATAACAATTAAAATATGTACATATAGTTATAAATAATCTCTTAGATATTGTCAACTGCTAAATGCCTGACTAAGGGAGGTTGCAGACTGCCAGAAATAGTGCAAATTGAGTCCACTTTAAGGGTTAGGGTTAGTGCTAGGGAATCATGGGAATTATTTTTTTTCTGAGACATCGAGCCTTCTCTGTCAGAGAGCTCTGGTGCCACAATAAAATACAGTTCCCATGATTCCCTAACCCTAACCCTTAAAGTGGACTCAATTTGCACTATTTCTAGCAGTCTGCAACCCCGCTTAGTTTTTTTAAAAAAAGCTTGAATTATTTCTTTGACCAATAA